CTAAATTTAACCAAGGGACCTCTAGGAGATATCTGAAATTTGCATTTAGACCAGGGAAGATGTGCTCTTATAAGGCATCCTCACAAAAAAAGGACTAAGAGTTCTCCTAAGATCTTCTCTTGTAACAATTATTTGAGTGATAAAGAACACTAATTACTTGGTGGAAGGGGGTAGAAGTCAATGAAAGTATGATCTAGTTAAGCTATAGGTTAAAATTGTAATCCAAATCACCACTTCGAATCTTATCCAACATGCCCACGATTTCTGGTCATTTCTTTTTTAGCACACAGGAGATCAGACAAATTCCATAATGCTTACCTCTGTACCTCTGGGGAATTTCAAGTACAGTAAGTACAAGTATTGCTGCTTCCAGAAGAAGGGGGTTGAGTAGAAAGGGCAAAACTATACAATTAATTTTCATGATAGAGATCTTGAAGAAGAAACTGGAGGTACTTGGTATGATTTCAGTTTAATTGGAAACACACCCTGAACATTAGACAAAAACAAAATTGTTGGTTTCATCTGAACTCGAGAAGAATTAGAGACTACGGGCTTAATTATGCTGCCCGCCCCCACACTGAACAATAAACACCTATTAACTTCTTCCAGAGTTAACTGAGTCTATTAGACAATATAACCCAGCTCAGTGAATGTGGTAGAACAGGATACTACACATTTCGTGGCTGCTACTGTAGCCTGCATGTGTTGGCAACAGTCTTGTTCTACTTCCTGCTGTTTAATATATATACATATATTTTTGAAATTTCACTGCCATATAATGACTTAGGACTTTTACTTCCTCAGGAAGTCAGTAAGAACATTCACATCTGGTGCTTAATCCAAGCAGAGGATGCTCACTCTGTTATAAGAAATTGAATGGCTTTAGTGACAGTTCACAAATAGTCTGTGTGATGATGGAATTCTGAAAGGAAGTCTAACAGATTTATTTTTCCTCATGAAAATATGCCCCAAACTTAAAAAGAGCACGAAAGTTAACAGACCTGGTATTTTCCTACAAAGTTCTTAAATTAGCTTTTTTTTTTTTTTTAAATACGTTGTGTTAATGTACCCTCAAAGAATTATAAGCACATAAGCTGTGACTGTTTGGAGTTCTTAAACTTTAGACAGGACAGTGTTACAAGGGTGAGATCGATCTGGTAGACACTGGACACTGCTAGGGGAGGGCACGAGGGGGCACGTGGCAACACACTGGGTACCTGGCCCACTATTGGGGAAGAGAGGACCAGTTGGAAGCCCAGACTACACCTGCATGCAACCTATTTATGCAGTAAATCTCCCCTTGTACTCCACAGCTCTAAAATGAAAAATAAGCTGGGCATGGCGGGTTCAAGACCAGCCTGCACAACTTAAGGAGATTTCACCTCTACGATAAATAAAAAAAAAATTAGTCGGGTATGTTGGCGCACACCTGTGATTCCAGCTACTTGGAAGACTGAGGTGGAAGGCTCACCTAAGCCTAGCAGGCCAAGGCTGCAGTGGCCGTGATTATGCCACTGCACTCCAGTCTGGGCAACAGCATGAGACTCTGACTCAATAAATAAATAAATATTTGAAAATAAAAAAAAGAAAGGACCGTGTTAGGTAGAAGATGACTATATGATCTTCCGTGTTAGTACGGAAATAATGTCTTAGAAAGCACGTGTGCTGTGTTATATTAAGTATTCTCTGGTTATTGACAAAAAACAAAGAGAGCTTAAGCAAAAAAGCAAGGGGGTGGAGACACTTCTGGGGGAAGGCAAGAGCAACTCTTGGGACCCAGGGACAAATAGGGCACCAGACCTCGAGAGGGCAGAACCCAGGGCATCTCTGGAGACCTTGTGAGCAAACACACATTCAGAGACTTTCTCCCTAGAGTGCTGCCTCAAATGCTTCTTGGTCATAATGTCCACTTCCTAGAAGACAGAAGTTGATTTTCCCCTCTTTGCTGAGGGGTCACCTTTGGACCAGTGAGCCATGATGACATGGTAGAACCATACAGCAGGAACAAAGATGAGAAGCATCCACTCCTGTGGACACGTTGGGAAGTTCTCGGAGAGCAGGGGGCAGTCCATTGTTGACTACACATAGACTTCAATGTTATAATCATGTATTACCACTAAAGGCAAGCTTTGTTTATTTTCCATAGTTGAGTGACCACCACATTAAATGGTGTGTTCTTTCCTAAAGCTCTGTTTCCCAGAATTAAGTCCTAATGTAGTGGTATGAGTCCGAGGAGCAACCAATGGAAAATATAGGATAAGTCTGGTATTTTGGTATGCAATGTAAGAAATGGGAGAGGCAAGTAAGGTGCAGTCACTACTATGAACATGCAGTCAAAGATAATTTTTTTTTTTCTTTTTTTTAGTCGGGCTCTCACTCAGTCACTTAGGCTGGAGTTCAGTGGCACCATTATGGTCCACCACAGCCATGACCTCCTGGGCTCAGGCAATCCTTCTGTCTCAGCTCCCAAAGTAGCTGGGACTAAGGCACATACTGCCACACCCAGCTAATTTTTTGATTGTTTTGTAGAGATGAGGTCTCACTATGTTGCCCTAGCTAGTCTTGAGCTCCTGGGCTTAAGCAATCCTCCTGCCTTGGCCCCTCAAAGTTCTGTATTATAGGCATGAGCCACCGCACCCGGCAAAGGGCAAATTTCTTATTAGCTTTCTTCTTTTTTTTTCCCAAGTCAGGTTTCACTATGTTGCCCATTGGGCCTCCAACTCCTGGCCTCAAGCGATCCTGCTTCAGTTCCTGAGTAGCTGGAATTACAGGTGCATACTGCTGTGCTTAGCCAAAATAGAATTTATAATTTTTTTAAAAGGGTCTAAAATGTATCATAGGTATTCTATGCCCTGGACATTACAGGCATAGTTCGTTTTATTGTGTGTCACTTAGGGTGCTTCACAGATATTGTGTTTTTTACAAATTGGAGATTTGTGGCAACCCTGCATCAAGCAAGTCTGTTGGTGCCATTTTCCAACTGTATGTGCTCACTTCATGTCTGTGTCACATTTTGGTGATTTTCACAATATTTCAAACTTTTTCATTATTATTACATTTGTTATGGTGATCTGTGATCAGGTGATCTTTGATGTTACTACTGTAATTATTTAGGGGGGGCCATAAACCACACCTGTGTAAGACAGCAAACTTAATTGATAAATGTTGTGTGTTCTGACTGCTCTACTGACCCTCATCTTTCTCCCTCTCCTCGGGCCTCCCTATTCTCTGAGATACAATAATATTGAAATTAGACCCCTTAATAATCTTACAATGGCTTCTAAGTGTTCAAGTGAAGGGAAGAGTTGCAGGACTCACTTTATTTTTTATTTTTTTGAGTTGGAGTCTCACTCTGTCACCCAGACTGAAGTGCAGTGGCTGCTCCTGGCCACTGCAGCCTCGACCTGCTGGGTTCCGGCGATCCTTCCGTCTCAGCCTTCCGAGTAGCTGGAACTACAGGCGCGCGCTACCACACCCGGCTAATTTTTTATTTATTGTAGAGATGAGGTCCCGCCAAGTTGTCCAGGCAGGTCTTGAACCCGCGGGCTCAGGCAATCCACTCACCTCAGCCTCCCAAAGGCACGGGATTACAGGCTGAGCCACCGAGCCTGGCTAGGACTCTCACTTTAAATCACAGACTAGAAATGATTAAATTTAGTGAGGAAGACATGTTGAAAGTCAAGCTAGGTGGAAAGTTAGACTTCTTGTACCAAAGAGTTGGCCAAGTTGTGAATGCAAAGGAAGTGTTCTCAAAGTAAACTAAAAGGGCTACTTCAGTGAACACACAAATGATAAGAAAGAGAAACAGCCTCATTGCTGATATGGAGAAAGTTTGAGTGGTTTGGATAGAAGATTAAAGCAGTCACAACATTTCCTTAAGCCAAATCCTAATCCAGAGCAAGGCTCTAACTTTCTTCAGTTCTATGGAGGCTGAGAGAGGTGAGGACACTGCAGAAGGGAAGTTGGAAGCTAGCAGAGTTTGGTTTTTGAGGCTGAAGGAAAGAAGCCAAGTTCATAACATAAAAGTATTAATACAAGGTTTTTGAAACATCAAGTGCTGATGGAGAAGCTGCAGCAAGTTATTCAGAACTAGTTAAGATCCTTGATGAAGGTGGCTATGCTAAACAAATTTTGAGTGTAGATGAAAGTCTTCTATTAGAAGACGGTGCCATCTAGGACTTTCAAAGCTAGAGAGGAGAAATCAATGCCTGGTTTCAAAGCTTTATAGAACAGACTGACTCTCCTGTTAGAGGCTAGTGCAGCTGGTAACTTCAAGGTGAAGTTAGCGCTCATTTACTATTCTGAAAATCCTAGGGTCCATAAAAATTATGCTAAGTTTGCTCTGTCTGTGCTCTCATAATAGAAAAACAAAGCCTGAATGATAGCACATCTGTTTATAGCATGGTTTACTGAATATTTTAAGCCCATCATTGAAACTTATTGCTCAGAAAAAAAATTTTTTTAAATATTTTTTCTTATTGACAATGCACCTGATCATCCAAGAGCTCTGATGGAGATATACAGGGAGATTAATGTTGTTTTTATGTCTACTAACACAACATTCATTCTGCAGCCCATAGATGGAGTAATTTCAATTTTCAAGTCTTATTATTATTTGTTTCAAGTCAAAAACATTTTTATTGTAATTCATGTATTTTTTTTAGTCGGAGTCTCACTCTGTCGCCCAAGCAATTCTTCCAAGTAGGCTTCCAAGTAGCTGGAACCACCGGCGAACACCACCACACCCGGCTAATTTTTTGATTTGCTGTAGAGACGAGATCTCGCCAAGTTGCCCAGTCTGGTCTGAAACCCCTGGGCTCAGGCAATCTTCTCATCTCCCCCTCCCAAAGTGCTGGGATTACAAGTGTGAGCCACCACACCCAGCATAGTCCACATATTTTATAGAAATTAAATGTAGCAAAGGGTTAGGGTTGTATAACAAAAAAATCCAGGTTTATACACGTTGGTCCACCTCCACCTGGGATCAAGGTCTCCAGACATCAGGTGCAGCAGCTGCACTTGTCCCATGCCTCTCTGCAGACACAGTTCTGGGCACACTTGGCACAGCCCACGGGGCAGCAGGAGCAGAAGCTCTTCTTGAAAGACTTGCATTTGCACTCTTTGCACTTGCAGGAGGCAGCACAGGCGCAGGAGTCGCCAGTAACGCAAGAGCAGTTGGGATCCATGTCGAACCTAACAGAGTCTGGAGTTCCTGGCGAGATGGACAAGGCGGTGGGACACGTGGTAAATTGGTCAAGTCTTATTATTATTTAAGAAATACATAATCTTGCACCTTTGGGAGGTTGAGGTGAGTGGATTGCCCGAGCCCGCGAGTCTGAGACCTGCCTGGGCAGTGAGACCTCATCTCTACAATAAATCAAAAAATCAGCCGGACATGGTAGTGCATGCCTGTAATTCCATCTACTCAGAAGGCTGAGGTGGAAGGATCGCCGGAGCCCAGCAGGTCGAGGCTGCGGTGGCTGGGAGCGGCCACTGCACTCCAGTCTGGGCGACAGAGTGAGACTCCAACTCAAAAAAAAAAAAATACATTTCATAAGACTATACCTGCTATACTGATTCCTCTGGTGGTTCTGGGCAAATTAAGTTGAAAATCTTTTAGAAAGGATTCATTATTTTAGATGTCAATAAGAACATTTATGATTAATGAGAAGAGGCCAACATATCAACATTAATAGGAGTTTGAGTCCAGACACAGTGTCTCCCACCTGTAATCCTAGCACTTTGGAAGGCTGAGGCAGGAGAATTGCTTGAGACCATGAATTTGAGATAAGCCTGGGCAGCAGAGAGAGACTTTGCCCCTAAAAAAATTAGCCAAGCATGGTGGCATGTGCCTGTAGTCTCAGCTACTCAGGAGGCTGAGGTAGAAGGATTACTTGAGCCCAGGGGGTTGAGGCCATGAAGAGCCACGATCGTGCCACTGTACCCTAGCCTGGGCAACAGAGTGAGACTCAGACTCAAAAAAAAAAAAAAGAGTTTGGAAGAAGTAGATTCCAATCCTCATGGTTGACTTTGAGGGGCTCAAGATTTCAGTGAAGAAGTAACTCCAGATGTGTAAGAAATATCAAGACAAATTAGCTGGACATGGTAGCGCATGCCTGTAGTTCCAGCTACTTGGAAGACTGAGGCGGAAGAATCGCTGAAGCCCAGCAGGTCGAGACTGTGGTGCCCCTGAGTGGCCACTGCACTCCAGTCTGGGTGACAGAGTGGGACTCCAACTCAAAAAAAAAAAA